TAAATAGAATTACACTAAGAATTTTTTTCAGTTACGCTAGGTACATTTCAAGTGCTCATATGTGGCTAGTGGCCCTAAGTGGGCACAAATGAAGTATATTTTTATTGTCACAGGAAGTCCTGGGCAAGTGTTCTAAAGGAACTGTAGTGCAGCGAGCCAAGAAGCAAGTTCCAAGACAGTGTTGGGGGTAGGCACATTGGGATGGAATGTGTGCAAGGTGGAGTACATTCCAGTGATCATTTAAGTTTTTTCCACCCAACAAATCCCTTCCAAAGATGATCTTTCTCCTTCCCCAGTTCGTCAATATGGGTCCTGTGGAGTAATGTATTCTTCTATAACTCTGCCTTCACTGCCTGAACTTTGTTCAGAAGTATGCACCTGACTCAGGCTGGGCTAATCTTAGTGCCCGTCCTCCTATTTGATCTGGAGCAGGGTAGCTCATTTTAGTTGAACCAATGACACCCCACTTTTTTGGGAATGTATGGATCTGAGGCCTAGAAATTTCACAATACCCATCCACTGAAATGCTTAGAATCTTTCAAGCAATCTGGTTTTCTGCCATAAGGAGAAAGTCTGCGATGACCAAGTAAAGTGAAAGCAGCATACAGAGAGAAGGTAAGAGGCAGAAAGTTCAGTGATAGCATTTTGGTTCCTAAGTCCAGCTGATCCTGAGGTTCAGTTGTAGTTCTGGATCTACATATTTATAATTAATTTTCTACTTCCCTTTAGCTAGTTTAAGTTGCTCTCATTTGCAACCAAAAAAGTTAAATAATGCTCAATTAATTGGACAGAGAGCATCTCATTGAAATGTATAGATTTAGAGAGGCAAGTATAATTCAAGTTTGTAAAATAAATGTAAACTAAGTCAGTTATATACATTGATAAAGCTCTGATAACTATTCATATTTACTTTAAATAGGAAATAATTTATATACACAAAAAGTAGTTATTTTATAAAGATAACTTGCTATCTTTTGTTTAACTTCATGAAGGGTGGAAAAAAGACAAAGTTAACAGAATAAATAAGTAAGATAATAGTTTGCACTGGCACAGTGTGTGAAAGAAATGAATTATTAGTGGTTTTAGCTTGATTTCCACTGTCCTTATATCTAGCCACATATTTTGAGATAGTTGCAATCACCAAAAAGCTTAAAGTTTAAAAATGTCTCCCTTACTCAATGACTCAAAATTCCTAAATAACACAATTTAACATCTATTAAGTTTTCCAAAGTCCATTTTTTGTATGGATATGTGTTAAGTGTCCATTTCTATATGTGCAGATATATACTTCTAGGTAGTATTTTCCCTTTCTTTTAGAGATTTTTAATCTTTTTTTCAGTCAAGTACTTTAAATTAAATACAGGAAAGTTCTAGCTATAAAAGTGAGCTATCAATAGTACATTAGAAATTTCTGTAACTTGAACCGTTCTTTCTACCGAGATGACATTGCTATTGATGGTGGTTAGTGATTGGATGTGGTACATTAAAACTACTTACCTAACGTAGCTGCAATGACTCTTCACTCTGCCTTTGACTTAGTTTTCCCACCTAATTCATCTTCAGTGCTCAATTGTTCCAATGATGTTTCCACCACACCACTTAGTGATTAGACTTCATGGCTCTCTTGCAATCATACATTCATCTGAAAGAACATTTCAAGGAAAAACTAATTTGAAACTTAAAATACCCAAAATAATTCCATTTCCTAGTTATGAAAAAGGGAATTTCTTTGACTTCTTTGATTCCTTTTCCCCTACCCTAATCTTGGTTCCTAATTATCTGTACAATACATGATGGGAAAATTAGGTTGCTTGAATTATGTGTGGAAGCTATTCTGTAAGTAATTCATTAAAAGAACAACGGCTCTTGACCATCTCTTAGTACATAAAAGTGTATTGTCTAAAGGTCAAGATTAGAAACACAGATGGTAGTGGTGGTGCATACTTGTTGTCCCAGTTTTCTGGGAAGCTGAGGCAGGAGAATCACAAATTTGAGTCAAGTCTGGGCAATTTAGTAACTTAGCGAAACTGTCTCAAAATAAAAAATAAAAAACCGGCTGGGGATGGAGCTCAGTGTGAAGGCAGGTTCTGGGTTCCATCCCTCTCCCAACTCCAAAAAAATGATTAGAAACAATTTTTGTCATTAGGCAGTATGTAAGCAAATTATAAAACATTTAAATTATAAATAATTGATGCTTCCCCAAATTGAAAGTATTGAATCCTTATTACACTTTAGAACTAGGAATAAGGAACCTAATCAAAAAGCTAATTCTAAGTGGCCTCTGACTTAGTTCACTTTCCTTTCCTATATCTAATTACCTGAGACGGAGGGACACATAGCAGTTTATTTTAGTTCATGGCTCTGAAGTTTAAGACAGTGTAGCAGCCTGTGAAGGGACCTGTTATGGTTTGTGTCTGGGTGTCCCCCCAAAGCTTCATGCTGCCATGGGGCAGGCTTTTAGAGTTTGATTGATTATGGGCGTGAGAGCTACACCCACCCTGGGGTGGATAGTTTGCGTATGTAAGGGAGAGGAAAAGGGTGCTTGAGGCCATTCCACCCTGGTGTGTGCTTGTTGCTTTGCTGTGTTCTGCCGCCATGAGCTGTAGCTCTCTGCCATGTGCCACTCTGCCTTGTAATCTGCCAAGTATGGACTGAAACCTCCACAAACTGTAAGTGAAATAAACCTTTCCTTCCTTAATTTTAGGTGTCAGGTATTTTGTCCCAGCAACGGGAGAAAAGTAACCAAGACAGGACCTCATGCCACATGAGAGTGGCCCATGGTGGCCTACATGGGAGGCAGGCATAGAAGGAATTAAGAGGCATTATGTACAAGTGCCAGCTCCTGGCGGTGAGTGTAATCATTATGTACTGTAAACATATACTGATGAAAATAAAAAGAGATGATGGGGAGAAATGAGCTGCCCACTTTAAGCCTTGCTTGTGATACCCAAGGATAGATAATGACCTCGGGCTAGTAGGAAATACATTAATCCCTTCAGGAAGTCTCTGCCCTTGTGGACACTGTTTGAAAGTCCCGACACCTCTTAATATCATTGCGGTAGCAACTAAATTTCAGCAGGAGTTTGATGAGGACAAACTACATTTAAACAATGGCAGCTGGAAAACAAACCCAGGAGCTGTGTGCAGTGTTGGGGTAATCTGTATGGAATTGTCCAACATTAGTCTGGGAATTTTTTCAACTACTACTTGGAAGGCATAGTTTCATTTTGTTTGCTGGTAGGGAGAATTACGTGTTTTAATCTAGTGCTGAGTTAACTTGGCCTAAATTCCCAGACTGACAAATTGAAAGGTCAAGTTCAACACATACACATTTTCTAAGCACACTATAGTGATACTAACCTGGGTTATGGAAGTATATATAATGTGAATATGTCCACAATACGTGTAATGGAATGATGACTTTTTTGACTTTCACTATGAAATTGGTGAACAACTGGATTACTCAGCCAGCCAGAAACCACAAATTGAGAACTGTGGTTTCAAGTTCAAACAATGTCTTGGAGTTCAACAGTGTTTTAGGCCAGGTTGACTGGGGAAATGACAGGAATTAAACATTTTACCTAAGTCCTGCAGATGTCTATGGTGAACATGTAAACACACACGTGAAGCTTTCCTAGACTAAACCGTAGGCATTTTATTTATTTATTTATTTTTTTTGTAAAACTGTCTTTATCCTGGAGAAGTAATTCATGCTTGTAGCTAGCTTTCAGCACAACGTCTAGCTCAACAGAGATTCACTGAACTAATAAAAACGGTAAAGAATGTCAAAAACCGACCAACAGGGAGGTTATATAAAAGCGATGAAAGCAGTTTCTGCTCCAGATTACAGTCCAGCCTCACTTACATAAGCGCGAAACACGCTCTTTGTGCTGCCCTAGGAGTCGGCCTGTCTTCCACAGGGGAGCGTGAGCCACTGCGCCTCAGGGCTACGGAAGGAAGTTGAGAGTTGCGTAAACCGTCGAGGGGCTGAAGCTCTCCCTGTGAGAATCAAGGGGCCACAGTTGCTGTGCGCAGGGTTGGGCCTGTGACTGTCTGCAATTTTCATGCATTTGAAAATATGTAAAAATCCTGCGTGTGTTTTGTTTCTCAGGCCGTTTGTCAAAACGTCTAGTTGACCTGTCCTTTTGGTAGCCTCAGATGTATGCGGACATTGTGGACTAACGCAGGTCACACCTCCGCAGGGGACGGCTGGCCAGCTCGGAGTGGGGTCAGCCTGTGGGAGCTGGGCGCCGGGGTGCCCTGCACTTGGGGTGAGGGGAAGCGGGTGGGCAGGGAGAGAGGGGGAGGGGGAGTGGCGAGGGGGACCGGAGGGGCACGGTGGGAGGCGAGGGGGAGAGTGGGAAGGAGGGGAGAGGGCGAAGCAGGGGGAGAGGCGCTGTCCTCAGGACACCTCTCCTTGTCTCCACCCTGCGGGATCCCGCGATCCAGGCACAACGAAAGCAGACCCGACCCGGGCTCGGGCCGCGGTCGGGCGGGAATCCGGCCCCCGGGGGGAGCGCTGTCCGCGGTGCTGACCGCGTCCCGGCGCGGCTCCCGGGCGTGGCG